ATTTTCGGTGTGAATTTTTATATGTTTACATTATGTATTTTTCATATCTGTGGAATGATGGAACGTAGAAACATGCCTAGGATTCCTGAACATTAAATAGGAACTAGGTTTGGGTTTAAATAAATTTAAATAGACTCAATCATAATGATGCTTGCTATTTGAATGTTTTAAACAAACGAATGGATTTAATCTTTTAAAATGTTTTAACAATTAAGATTAAATGTGTAGGATAAATTGGATATGACGAATGCTTAGTTGACGGTATAATAAAATATCATCATGTATAAGATTCAATTTGTGTGGGACATATGATATAGCAAGCTTAAATAAATAATAAGTCATTCCTATTTTGTGATAACTTGATATCATATTATCATAGTTATTTCTGGATTATTTGATGTATTTCCTTAATTGTTACATCAATTGTTGGATTGTGTGGTTTAATGCACCGGTATGAGACGGTGGCATTCTAGGGATGGATTAACTTATCAGTTAAGTCCTACCTATTTTATATAAGGGAATGGATTAACTAAAATGTTAAATCTTACTTATATTCAAGTTAGGTCAGCTGAACAAGTTGAATGACTTATGGAGGATTAATTTATTATATAAGGGAATTGATTAACTAAAATGTTAAGTCCTACTTATATTCAAGTCAGGTCAGCTGAACAAGTTGAATGACTTATGAATGATTAATTTATACTGGATAGGATGGTTACTAGATTATATATATATAAGTATGGTGTCATGATATGAGCTTGAGTCTCAGGATCAGTGGTTAGGGCACGTATATCGCCAGGGATGTGTAGCTAGATAAAGTGTAGTTGTGTACCCTGATAGATCTAGGTACTTATGCCCACTATATGTGCGTTTTGCATGTTGCCTATTATTCAGGTTGAGACAACCCTATAGTCTAGTGAGGTTCCTTTAGTGTGTATATATATATATACGGACTACTAGTTACTGTTGGATTGACTAGGATGTATACGTGTATCGAATCTTTGCTTGGACTGTAGTAGAGTAAAACTTGTTTGTGGGCCTGACCCACCATTATTTTTCAGGTGTTCGTCAAGAGTAGAGGTTGTTCGTGCTGAGCGAGGATCAGTTTACTTCATTCTTCCGATGCTACATAGGAGTTCCTTTATGATTTAGTTTCTTGATTTAGATAGTTATTGCTGTCATTTGTTTAGTTTGGATTTTCTAGGGGTTCACACAGTATGGATTCCCGAGTTGTATTTTAGAGGATCAGTTGTATCAGAAGAGTTTAATAATTAATGGAAATATATTCTTAGGTTTATTATTAGATTATCATTTTAGTTTCTTATCAGCATTTTATTTATTCTTCTTTATTCTTTTGTACTCTGTGTTCGTTTATTATCAATTTGTTTTGATATCCTCGGGTATTCGGGCGTGAATCTAGCCAACCCGCATTCGAAAATCCGAGGGTATCACAGTCCAATCCTACATTACCAAAACATGCCTTTACCCTTTGGATAGCCATCCAACAAAGACTCCCCACACTCGACAGAAGATGCACAACACACAGTATTTCAACAATATGCCCCCTCTGCAACTATGAGTCAGAGTCCCACAACCACTTATTTTTTAAATGTGATTTTGTCAAACCCTTGTGGACTTTCCTTCAAGCACGTTGTGGATTCCATATTCTTCCATCTTCTTGGTCTAACTTTGTTCACTGGGCTGCGCACCACTGGATAGGCTCAACCGGAATCACAAACAACTCAATCTCCAAGCTATGTTTGGCGTCACTGGTCTACAATATTTGGATGGAGAGGAACAGGCGAATTTTCAAAAAGAAATCTCTTTCAGCTAATTCAATCCTTCATCTCACATTAGAATCGGTTCGAGAGAAGATTTTGGTTTCTTCTATCAAGGATGCTCGTAATTGCAGAAGAACAACAATTGAATGGGAGGTTCCTGTTTCATGTGTGCGTCCACCAGCTAAGCCTCCTGATCAATCTAGGAAAACCTCAAGGAGATGAGGTTGGGGCTCAAAGCCATGATTACCGGATTGTTGGCTATCATCAGCCATTTCAGAACTGCTTTCCATTTTGGGAATTTTGTGCTTTTGTTTAATGAAGGCAAGGAAAATGTAATTGTTGGGTTGGGCTGTGGGCCTTATTCTTGAAGTTAGCCTGGGCTAACTGTGCTTTTTGGCCCTGTTTGTAATCCATTTCTCTATTTATAATATTTACTTCACTTTTCAAAAAAAAAAAAAAAAAGTTTGAAAAACCCTTCCAGATTAAATTTGATGCATTATTATTAATATTAGGGCAAAAGTCAAAACCATGGGGGCACAAAATATGTCTCAGAGACTGGAACAATATTTTATCTACCCAATTTGCTCTTATTTCTTATGAAAAGTGAATTCTTGCATTTACTCACAAAATATATATATTTTTAAAAAAATATTTTCTTACACGTCTTGTAGCATCGGCTTGGAATTAAACATGACCTGATGCATTTTTGGTTGGAGATTAATTCTAATATCATCCTTCATAACTAGGGATAGCAACGGGAGCGAGTTTGGATAGGTGTACCCTCTCCTGCCCCCGCAACCGTTTAAAAACCCCGCCTCCATTCCCGCCCAAAATCGCAAAAACGGGAGGATTTTCTATCATATTCTCGTAACCGTTTAACATTTTTACCCCCGTAGATACCCGCCCTGTCCCGTTTAAGACCATAATTTATTTATTGTTAAAATATATTTGCTTTTTTTTTTTTTTTTTTTTTTCCCCCTTATCTTTAACTCTTCACCATTGCAACTTTCTTTTTAATTAAATTCATTTATTACTTTAATATTGTTATATAAGGTACTTAATGTATAGTGGTAAATATATATACTATTGAAATAAGGGTACTTAAATAATTTATTTATCTAAACGGGGGCGAGGCAGTGCGGGACGACCTTCTCCCGCCCTCGCACCAAACTCACGCGGATTTTTATTACATGAAATCATCTCTGCCCATATAAGCAAAACGGTCCCACAAAATCGCCAAAAACGGGGTGTGGAGGGGCGTGTAATTGCGGGAGCGGGTCAAATTGCCATCCCTAGTCACAACTCATCCTACTCGTATATATATTATTATTCGCTCTGCACAACATCTATACATGTATATGTTATTTTTTATTTTTTATTTTTTAGCAAACATGTATATGTTATTAAACCTCTCCTAAATGGCGATATGAGACGTCATACGTTTACCCACAATATTTTACATTTAATTATGTGAGGCAAGATGATGGGAAAGTGGTCGAAAATTCCCAGTAACCTTCCGTAGACATTTTGTTCGACACGATTTTGCCCAAGTTTGACAAACCCTTCCAATAATTAAAGTTGATACATTATTAGTGTTACAAAAAACGTTAAAAAACATGAGTCAATAAATAAATAAATAAATAAATAAATAAAAAGTCCATGGCAAATGACGTGCTAGCTGGATTAGATGTAAAAGCTGGTATACAAAATTAGATGCAAGTCTCGCACGCTTTCTTAAAACAAAAAATAAAAAAATGCAACAATGAGAACATGTTAAAGTTGATCAAAACAGAGAATGACAAGTAAATAATCTGAATATATAAAATAAACCTGACTAACTCATTCGTACTAAGATTGCCTTTGGAGGCTTGGACAACCCTTCTCTTATAGCCTCCTAACATTCATAGATTTTCCATGTTTAATCAACGTACGTGTTAATAAAAACTATTGTTTATTAGCTTTTACCTGCTCCATGCATGCACCTAAACTGAGCATGATTGTTAATGAGTAAGTTCTGTTAAAAATGTGAATAATTAAGCTACGTACAATTTACAATAGAAAGGCACATGCGCTATTGAAGTTGTAAAATTCATTGAAGCTTCATGTGTCCATGTGATCAATTGGTTGTTTCTCTGATTGCTAGCTGCTATTTGGATCTGTCTGTTGACAAATTCCAACCCATTTTTGTTTTTATTTTTATTTTTTGCTTGCTCTATGATTTTGTTTGTTTTTTAGGGTTACATGTTTCCTTGCACACATTAAAGAAAAATAGTGTTTGTGCTTTCAATTGTTTTGGGCAGATTGTATTGATAATTTATTTATCTATTTTTTATTTTTTCGGAACAGTTTAGATTTTATCGATAATTAGTTAATAATTATAATGAAACATTATCAAACTTAGTTCAAGTGGTATCTACATAATCTACTCTCCTTGTTCACTGGGACTGAAAAAAGGTTACAATGAGACACTGTCAAACACTAGCTTGGACCTCATTCGCAGAATAAGTTTTGTTTGGAACTCTACACTGTATTTTAGAGCCGTTTCTTTTGATGGACAAATTTTGGCGGGTAAGACAGTTAAAATATTTATATATCAACTAATTAATATTACTTGGCAAAAGCACCTCGTTGGAAACATTTAACAGTCGGAAGGATCCAAATTAGAAGTGGAAAACACTGAAAACAAATATAACAATAGAAAAGGGCCTAACCCTGGTAAAAATTCAATTTAATACAAGCACGCCACATTACATCATTGTTATTAATGTAAAATAGCCATGTCAATTAAAATTACATAAATAAATTAATCACAAATGTAAGACGTACAATTGATGTTGTCATATATATATATATATATATTCAATTGGCTTGTCACTGCATAAGCAGAATATATATTTGTGTGTGTGTATATATATATATATATGTATATATATGCACCGGCCAATGTGTTACGTAATTAGTTTATAGAAGATAAGATCGAGTTGAGTTTGCGGAGACCATTTTGAAAGTGAACTGTTATAAAAAATCATACATGAGAAACTCATTTATTATAACACACAGATTAGAGTACACGTATAATGTATATGTTAAATTCACACACTATATATTATATAAAGGCCTTACACTCAGCTCCATCATTCAATGAACAAAAAGGTAGCAGCCACCTTACCAGAAAACTTATCCTAAAACAAGGGACATATTTTTTTTCTTCAACCTAACATGAACTCAAGTTCGAGTTTGAACTTTGATGAGCATCGATGGGTCATTCAAATCCGTCGAACCCTAGATGAAGAGCTTGAAGAGGACTATACTGAAATCCCTGTAAGCATCTTCAATGTCCCCAAAACCCTAATGGCTAGTAACCCGGATTCATATATTCCACAAGAAGTTGCATTAGGCCCTTACCATCATTGGCGCCCCGAGCTCTATGAGATGGAGAGATACAAGCTTGCTGCAGCAAAAAGCATCCAGAAACAACTACATTGCCTCAAGTTCCAACATATTGTCGACCAATTGACAAAGTTGGAGCCGAGGATTCGAGCTTGTTACCACATGTACCTTGATATAGATGACGAAACCCTAGGGTGGATGATGGCAATTGATGCCTCCTTCTTACTTCAATTATTTCAAATCTATGCTGTCAAAGAAGACCATAAGACTCTAACAAGAGTTTGTTCTAGGATGTCCCATTTGTTTGACATTGCAGGGAGAAAGTCGGCACATAATGCCATTCTTCGAGATATGGTGATGCTCGAGAATCAAATTCCACTCTTCCTATTGAGAAAGATGTTCGAATTCCATTTTTCGACGTTAGAATTATCGGATGGCATCTTACATTCCATGTTAATGGGATTGTGCAAGGAGCTCTCCCCCTTCAAGATGATGGAAGAATTACCAAATGTTCAAGTCTCCGAGCGCGCTCACTTGCTAGACTTTTTGTACCACACCATAGTGCCCAACTCGGAGGATCAACCACGCCAAGTAACTGAAGCTGAGGATCAACTAATGCGAGTCAAGGAAGGAGAAGAAAAACCTCTTGTGAAGAAGTCAATTTATGTCGAACAATTCCTTGGCGAGATTTGGAAGCTCCTCTCAAAGTTGTACGAAGGCCCGGTACGTGTCTTGATTTCAAAACCTGTTGAAGTGATTTCAAATTTGCCTTGGAATGTCATCTTTAAACTTCCAGGACTTCGAGTGCTGAAACAGCCCATAGAATTTTTATTCATCTCCCAAGATAAAGAACCCCAAAATGAGTCTCTTCCAAAGTACTCAAACTCTAACATTCACAAACCTCCACTGCTTGAGGAAATCACAATCCCTTCAGTCTCCAAGCTCTCCAAAGCCGGTGTCCGTTTCTTACCCACGCATGGCAGCATCTCAACCATTAGTTTCGATCCTAAAACAGTTACATTGTACCTCCCAACTGTCAGCTTAGACGTGAACACGGAGGTGATCTTGAGAAACTTAGTGGCATACGAAGCATGTAGTGCGTCGGGACCATTGGTTTTCACTCGTTACACTGAATTAATGAATGGGATTATTGATGATGAAGAGGATGCAAAGCTGCTTAGAGAAAGAGGGATTGTTTTGAACCATTTGAAGAGTGATGGAGAGGTGGCCAACCTGTGGAATGGGATGAGCAAGTCTATTAGGTTGACCAAAGTGCCCTCCTTTGATAAAGTGATTGAAGATGTCAACAAATATTACAATGGCAGGTGGAAGGTTAGAGCTGGGAAATTCATGAAACGTTATGTGTTTGGTTCATGGCAGTGTCTCACATTTCTGGCTACTATTCTGCTCTTATTGTTGACGGCTTTACAAGCCTTTTGCTCAGTGCATAGCTGTGCTCGAAATGTCACAAACATCATTGATTGATTAGTCCCGGGATATTGCAGACTTTCTCGTAATAGGAGTGTTTCCATAAAATTTTCAATGTAACAGTTGCTTACTGAAATTCTTTCATTAAATTTAGATGTGCATTAAATTTTCAATGTAACAATATTTAATTGCTTTGTTGCGTGACAAATTATTCTTCTAGTATTTTGTAACATGACAATAATGCCATTTCAAATTAGAAGTGAAGAACATTTTTAAAGAAGTGGAGTTATCACCTCTCTCTCTTTTTTGTTGTTGTTGACTCATAACTCATCATACATGGCTAAGAATTTTACAAATATGATTTGCTGAGACCATTGTTCAATTCATTGAACAGATTTCGCTCACTAAGCAAAAATACCTAGACCACTAGGACTCTGTATAATTGAGTTTCATTTTTCCAATTGAAGCTTTAAAAGAAGCTATTATAATGTGCTGTTGGACTTTTTCCTGAGCTTAATAAAGAGAGCGTGGTGTCACGATCCGATTCCTAACGACGCCATGAGCATAGAAGACACGCATGCTGGTTGGCTAAGAACATTCATTGACTGGGAATGGTTCCAGGGAAGGGACGTGCAGGACCACAGGATGGTACCTCTTCAGAGTTCAGGCAGGTCGACTCGGTTCAGTTCGAGGTGCTTGTCGCTAGTCGTGGACTTGACTATGAAGAAGGGAGTTAGCCATCCCTGCACAAACTAGTCGGGAGCTGGAGCCGTTCCCCTGACGAGGCCACGGCAGGCCGAAACCAGTCAGCATATATCCTTGGGAGGGCAGGTCGTGGTGGCTGACCAGGGCGCTTGCGCGAGCTGAAGCAACGCCTTGGTGCCGCACGGGCCGTGCCGTTGCGCCAAATCTCTAGGCCCGTGACAAATGGTATCAGAGCAGGACTTGGGGAAAAGCACAAAGGTGTACCCCCTTGTCGATCCGGGGGTCTTGAGAATGAAGTGGGTGCACTAAAGCGTCGGTGGGCAATCAATGTTGTTGGAGGAGAGCCTCCATCTCCCCATGAAGACGCGTCCTTTGAAGCCGGAGGGCCGCGCGCACTAAAGTTCTTGCAAGTTCAAGAGGCGTGCAAACCGTTGTGAAGGGCGGGTATCAAGTCAGCCGGAGGGCGCTTGTTTGCTCGGGGTGTCGCGGAGGCGGCATAAAGTGGGGTTGCGTTCCGAAGAAGTGGGCGTCCCTTTAGCCCAAAACCCTATCATTGGGCGAGTGCAGCCAAGGGTTGTACAAGGAAGCGATGGTGGGCAGGCGAGCATACCACTTGGAGGAGAGAGACTTTGGAATGTTGGACGCAGCGGAGTCAGCGCCGCACTGCGACGAGGGCGTCGCAGGATTTAGGTGGGGGAGAATGTCATGATCCGATTCCTAACGACGCCATGAGCATAGAAGACACGCATGCTGGTTGGCTAAGAACATTCAATGACTGGGAATGGTTCCAGGGAAGGGGCGTGCAGGACCACAAGATGGTACCTCTTCAGAGTTCAGGCAGGTCAACTCGGTTCAGTTCGAGGTGCTTGTCGCTAGTCGTGGACTTGACTATGAAGAAGGGAGTTGGCTATCCCTGCACAAACTGGTTGGGAGCTGAAGCCGTTCCCCTGACGAGGCCACGGCAGGCCGAAACCAGTCAGCATGTATCCTTGGGAGGGCAGGTCGTGGTGGCTGACCAGGGCACTTGCGCGAGCTGAAGTAACGCCTTGGTGCTGCACGGGTTGTGCCGCTGCGCCAAATCTCTAGGCCCGTGACAGTGGGCTTAATAAAGATGGGTGTACAAATAAAGGGCAAGACCTACATGCCCAAATAGGCCTACACATTGCAGCCATACAAAACAGAGGCCCACACAGAGGAGATGACAATAAGTTGAAAAATGATTAAACAATTCGTTAAGAAAATTAGAAGTTCCGGTAACCAAAACTTGACAGATATATTTATAAGGGTAAAGTTCAAAAAATCAGCTTATAGTAGGTTTTTATACACCCCCCCCCCCCCCCCCCCCCCCCCCGGCCGCTTCTTCTTTTTTTTTTTTTTTTTTTTTTTTTTTTTTTTTCTTTCAAAAACAAACTTGAGCGTCTTCAATCCCCTAATTTAAAAAAAATGTGCATTTCAGTCCATGTTTTTTTAAAAAGTTCCCCCACCTTCTAAAAATATCATTTTACATGACCTGTATTTCTACTAATTAATTTATAGGCAAAGTGAGAAAAACAACATGAATGTTTTAATTTTTGGCAAATAACACCCCTATTGTTTATTTTGAGTATATAATTCTGTTAAGTTTAAAAAAAATGAGTAAAGAAAGACTTATATTGTGTATGTAAGTTTGTTAAGTTTGAAAAATAAGCAAAAAATAACTTGAAATCACTGTTAAGATATAAAATTCTAAAAACACCCTTATCTTTTCCTATAATGCCCTTATTAGGGCAAAGTGAGAAAAATATCCGTAATGTTTACATTTTGGGCAACTAACACCCCTATCCTTTATTTTGAGTAATTAAGTCCGTTAAGTTTGAAAAAATGTAACAAAGAAGGGCTGAGGTCATTGTTTTGTTAAAAATAATGCACATGACATTTTTAAAATATAAAATTTTAAAAACACCTTTGTTTCTTCCGATAATGTCCTCTTACACACACACACACACACACACAAACTTATCACATTTAATTATTTTTTACCTATTTTTTATTTAGCTGTAAAGGGGATAATTTAGTCTTTTCAGCATTCAGGTCCTTGTTTGCACCAAAATTGAAAGTTAAGGAGATTTAAAACGCATAGGGAGTTGTATACTCTATATGTATACCATAAAGATATTTTTTTGCCCGCAACCCTATATTATATATATAAAAAGAAGGACAGGTTAGTTATTTAACATTTAATTAAATTATTTTTTTTACCTATTTTTTAATTCAGTTGTAGAGGGATACTTTAGTCTTTTCAGCATTTAGGTTCTACTCTATTGAATGTTAGGGACTTTTTAGAACGTATATGGAGTTATAAACTTTATATGCATATATACTTGGTGTTTTTTGCTTGTGACACATTATTTATTCTACTGACATAATGATATAAGGGGGTTTTAAACTATACAGGAACCTTTTTACATTATATTGATGGTAGAGGGATTTTTTTTTACACTTAATCCTATTTATAAATTAGAAACTCTGGTAACTAAATTCCCTTTATAACACCTTAGAACGGAAAAAAGAGCCTTCTTGACGACGCTACATAAATTTTTGAAAGATATAGTTGAACATGATAAAAGGATGTAATGAAACACTACATATATAATTTGAAAAGTGAGCTGATTAAATCTAACGAAACACTGTGTCAAAGGTGTTAAGTGATAATATAGATTTAGGTTCTGCTGCGAAACTTTCTTTCTGGAAATCAAAAGTTGTTTTCGTGAAAACTAAAATCTACAGTTGTTGCTGGTCCTCCTATAGATAGATTCCAAATTGTCATTTTTGTGGAGAAAATATCACATTAAATATAAGTATTAAAATATATGAGCAGGGAATGAAGAACTGGGAAAAGAAAATAACATTGTGGACAATTCTAGAGCATTGCTTAATTAGATAAATATAGGAGTTGAAAAGAAAAATTGAAAAGTTGGCGTATTTTAATTTTGGTTTAACATCTCAAAAGTGGAAAAAAAATTGTCAAACTAAGCTCTCTAGGATTGAAGCTTTTCACCCTAGAATAGCACGAAAGTCATGCACATGTTACAATATATCCAGAGACCATTTGGGTAATAATAAAAACTAAGTCTTTCTTAAGCCATTCCACTGTATTTGGGACACTTAGTCTAAGTCATTGACGTACTTTTTGATAGTCGTTGCTCTAGATAAGCGATAGATGATACGCATAAGAAAATTTTTAGAAATTCGTGATGCACGTTTTAACAGTAATTGTTTTAGGTATTTGAGTGATGATAGAACATCATTTATCATGTACAAGAATTTTTTTAAAGGATCTGTGCTGTACGTTTTGAAAGTAATTGTTTTATACAGATGACTTATGATAAAACTATCGTTTATCAAGTACAAGAAAATTTCAAATGAATCTATAATGAACGTTTTGATAATAGTTGTTCTAAATACATGACTTATAATAGAATATTATTTAACACATAGAAGGAAATTTTTGGAGAATCCATTGCTATTGGTAATGGTAGTGTTTGTAATGTATTGAGATCGAGAGGTTTTAAAAACATAGTTTTCAATGAAATTGGGATAATTTTTCATTCACAAATAGGAGATTCAATAGTTGCCATTAATAATGAATGCATGTGATTGAGTTGAGAGTAACATTGTGGACAATTCTAGAACATTGCTTAATTAGATAAAAATAGGAGTCGAAAAGAAAAATTGAAAAGTTGGCGTATTTTAATTTTGGTTCGACATCTCAAAAGTGGGAAAAAAAAAATTGTCAAGCCCTCTATGATTGAAGCTTTTCACCCTAGAATAGCAGGAAAGTCATGCACGTTACAATCCAGAGACCATAAAAAATAAGTCTAAAATGTCTAAAATCATTCACATTGAAATTGACTACTTGGGACACCTAGTCTAAGTCATTGATACACGTTTTGATAGTTGTTGCTCTAGGCACGCTTGATAAAATCATGTATAAGAAAATTTTTAGAGATTAGTGATGCACGGTTTGATAATACTTGTTTTATGCATTTGACCAATGACAGAACATCGTTTATCATGTACAAGAAATTTTTTAAAGGATCCGTGGTGTATGTTTTGATGTTGAAAATTTTTAACAAATTTATAATAAACGTTTTGATAGTAGTTGCTCTAGGGACATGACTTATAATAGAATATTATTTAACACATGGAAGGAAAATTTTGGAGGATCCATTGCTATTGGTAATGGTAATCTTTCTAATGTATTGAGATTGAGTTGTTTTAAAAACCTAGTTTTCAATGAAATTAATTGGGAGCTTTTTTCATTCACAAATAGGAGGTTCAATAGTTGCCATTAATAATGAATACATGTGATT